TTGACCCGCAAGTAGTCAAGCTGAATTGCACCCCATTCTGATGATGCCCTCACACTACAAAATCACATGAGCATTTCTACAGGCTTTACAACGGGACACACAAATTTCAAAGCTTAAGTACTGCTAACAATTTAAACCTCTGTGGATAATAGATCAGAGTAACGTTTTACATGTTTCACTAGACATGCAATCAAACAATGAAAAAATGTCTAAAATAGTCTGTGCAATTTTGCAAATACATCAATGTAAACAGGAAGCGTATGTACATTTCTGCGTACATGGCAGATATTGGACAGGCGAAAAAAATGGTAAACAATCTCATATTTTGAGGTATGCCAGAGGTAGTAATTGAAGATTGTAAACTAGATTCCAACGCTATTTTTATTTATAGGTCGCATCGATCGGTAAACTTCCATCAGTAGCTTTAATATGTGCTGTTCGCGAGTATCTGACGTAATGCTCATGATTTCCAATACTTTCAAGTTCAGATGTGTACAAGTTTGGTGTAAACCGGGATCATCAACGCGAGCAAACAATTGAAGGCAGATATGAAAAAGCCCGAAATTCAAAACCGCCATCGAATTCTCTACAAAACTCACTATTGATCTATTTTTTTTCTGTAATAAATATGTTTCCAAGAGTGACGTAAAAACATATTTATCAGAATGCGATGACCTTCGACTGCATACATAGACAATATAGATAAATGTATCAGCAGTATCGCGGGAGACGAAGTAGTCTACAGCTGTCACCTTTACCGATCACTGTCATCTCACATCTACACGCATAAGTTCGAGTCTCGAGTTCGACCAATGTAGGCGTATTAGAATGTTTGCCAGTAGTCTTCAGTGGGTGGGTGGTTCTTACCAGGCTTTTTCTTCCTCCACCAGTGTTACTGGCCGCCATGTGTAGTATATATGTCGCTGAGAATGGCGTTAAACCCCAAAACAACATGCGTGTATCTAGACAAATTTGCTCTGCAAATTGGTTAGCCAGTCCTCACAAACTTTACATGTTTCGCATTTATAATTAGCGCCAGTCTGAATCTCAGGAGCAATATTTGCATTAGTTTTTACGCTTTATTATAGGAGATATGAATTTTGATCTGGTTACACAACAATGGTTATATATTTGTATCTTAGGTCTTTGACAGAATTTCAAAAACAAAAACTATTGGGGTATTTTTTTGGAGGATATAATCGATTTTAGGAAAGCTTTCAGCTCCGTTGGTTTTAGGGTAGGGTATATGGATGAATTTACTACGGAACAACATAAATGTTTATAGGGGTGGGGTTGTAAAATTATTTACAATTTGTGTGGATCCCTTTGAATATCAATCGTGGAACATTCTCTTTATTGCCAAAGATTTTATCGGGTTATTCAATAAGAAAATCTCTAACCTGTATTATTTGTATTGTTTCTTAACGGTCTACAATATTTCTTGCGACAAAATCAATTCTTCAGAGTGAATAAAAGTGTGGTAGGTTTCGAAGCTTCTTCAGTTCTTAAAATTTTACTTTTATTATAAATAGACAACACTGTAATATTAGTGGAGCAAGAAAGAAATAAAGAATGAAAGTTTTTGATAATGTTGTCGCATACTAATGATTTAATTTTTTTTTGTTTTGCAGGGAAGTGGGCATATGCAAGTAATGAAACAAACACGACAGAAGGTTGGTTAACAACGGAATTAACATGGGTTTTGTATGTCGTCGGAGCGTTTACGTGCATATTGACATGTCAGTCAATAAAAATGATATTTACCGGTCAAGATGCATAAAATTTGCAAAATCTAAACATCATGGTCAGGGTGAAAGTACGTCAGCAAACTGATGCCTATTCAAACGCAATATTCATTAAGTGTATGTAATATAAACAATCAGTGTATATAAATTTGGCGTATTACGTGTAAATGGGACAAGGGGTGACGATGAATGACAAAATGAGTTTTGGCGCCCAAATACTTATGGTGCCTGGAGCAACCGTACTCCTGCCCGTTAGTATGCTACTTGTATATACTATACAAAATCAGAGTGTATAACATCTAAAATCACTGTGTTTAGAATATAAAATCAGTGTATATAATATACAAAATCAATGTATATTCTATATAAAATCAGCCTATCTAATATATAATATCAGTGTATATAGTGTACAAAGTCAGTGTATATAATTGTATCGAACTATACGGTTGGGGTGGTGTGTTTCCAATAATTAAACTATTATAGAAGTCCCACACCGGCTCTGTTTTGTTGGAAGTTAAATTTAGTGAAAGATAATCGTAAAGCTCGGATCCCCCAGTCAGCAATGCCGACGGTGAGATGTTTAAATATACCAAAAAAGGTTGAAATTTAATGAATAACAATTTGATAATAATTCGATAATCAAATTACTCAAATTTACAATTACGCTCTTTCCGCTCGACCCTTTAGTAAGCCTGCTGCATGACTTGATTAGCAGTGTGAGATTGATTTCCACCTGTCCTTGTATTTCTACTCATCTTTTGTATCCTTTCTCTGTCTTATTTTTCCCAATTCCTTCCCCTCTTCCTCACAGACCTCGCTCCAAAGTCATTCTCCTCCTGCTCGACTTCCTCTAGACTCCTTCTCCTCCTCTTCCACTTTCTCCTCAACGACTACACTCCTGTCGACTTCGACAGTCTCGGCTACAGTCTCAATTCCGTCTCCAACTCTTGAAACCTTTGGACCCAATGTAACCGGAAGTTTTCTGTCCCCTACAAGCTTCCTGTGAAAACACAATGACGTTTCAATCTTTTTCATTAGCCCTCTCATCTCACACTACACACATCCTATCATCAGATAACTGCTATTAAATTTCTTCCGTTACGCGTTAGTTCTCATCGATACGTTCTTGCTGGTAAAACAAACGTCATAATACAACACGGTATCAATTACTTCTTATACATACATCAACAAATTCCGTCACATATGTACATATTTTTAATCCTAAACAATATCACAATAATGAGACGCATCTATTTACCTTACAACTCATGCAAAATACGCATATATTCAAATATACATACTCTAATATATGCAAAAGTCCATCATAAATAATCTTATATACTTTAAACATGTTTCAAAATTCATAATTCAAGCATGTGTAAACAATAACATAGCCCAACTTTGCTAAAAGAGAGCATAACCACTTTGCTTTGTTTAAGTGAGATCATTTGCTTACACCTTGTTTGCAATATGAGTTTGCTGTTGATAAACACTTGGACTGAGCCATGTTTGTCAACAGTGTCCTATCAGATCTGCAAAATTACAATATATCGAAGCCCAGTCAAAGTATTATATTATTTTATCTTTGTGTTCACACTGTGTTGTGCCGGTATTGTATTTGAAAACTAAAGCTTTTAAACAGCTGGTGAACGTATGTTACCTGCATGAATGTGGTTTGATGTAATGAATGCATCAGGTATTGACTTTTCACGTATACTTTTTTGGATATCATTTCCTTGCACTTTGTTACGATTACCTTGTACCGAAATTGAATGCCGTCCATTCTGGTGTAAAATCGTTACCTAAAAAGAAACATTATGGAAACAGATTTCCGTCCCATAATGCACCAGCAAATCGTTGTCTTTGATTTATGTTTTTTTTTAAATTTCATTCAAATAACACAGAATCGGATATATCGTTGCATAATGCACCTGCAGATCAATAGCATTGCCGTTCGTAGTTGGTTGAGCACTACACACATCTTACTGTAGTACATGGTATATGTAGATAATTAGTGGTATTGACGACAGACTGCATTTGTTGTTATAGGGTTTAACGCCATGTTCAGCACAAGATAGGCTATACATGGCGGCCAATATAAATGGTTGAGGAAGAACCGGGGAAACCACGGGAAGAACCACCAACCCACGAGAAGCTACTGGCAAGCTTTCTCAGACAGACTGCATAAAGGAATTGTTTTGTTTGTTTGTTTTTTTTTTTATTTTTTTATAAAAAAAACAATTTTACATCTGTAATGAGATGCTGATTAGGCCGTATTCCAGTACAAATTTGATACGTTTTTACAATCTCACACAACGGCTGTGGAAATGCAATTTTTGCACAGTTTTGGAGGGGGTGGGGAGGCAGAGCCGTAGAAAGCGATCACAGGCCCTGGGGTAATAAATACCTGGGCATGTCCTAGTTTTTGTTTAAACAAAATTATTATTTTATAAAATTAAAATGTGTTATTATGCCCGGGCTTCGTGGATATATCCACGATTAACCCCTCCCCCAGTCTGCCTTAGGGCGAGGCGGCTTGGGCTACTTTTCAATCCATACGGCTTTTGTGATTCGATTAAAGGAAATTCAGTATTTATACACTAAACATGAACTCTAAAGACGCAGACCTAATTGATTCACTCCTCAAAGATTCAAAGCCGACTCGTACTGAAAAAAGTCAGTTGTAGAGTTGACAAGAATAATCATTTGAGATTTCTTTCACTTCGAGTCGTCCGATACATTTTTAATTACCAAAAATGAAATGAACATATATGCAGCGAATTAAAGGCCAGGTGATCAGCTTGATTACAGAGTAAAAATGTACCTTAGGAAAATACAGTGGCACAATAGCCAGGAATTACCGTCCGGTTTCACTCATCAATGTTCTCTATGAAATGTTCAAAGGTTGCGCACAGTGCACAGGAGTTTGCTACAAATAAAATTGGGAGCCTAAAGTGTAATTATTACAGGTTAGTTTCCCAAATTGTTTTTGTAACAAACCCCTGTGCACTGTATTATTACAGGTTAGACTCCCAATTTTCTTCGTAACAAACACCTATGCACAGTGCTTGTTCACTCTATTATATTTGACAAACAATATGCATTTAAAACAATCTTTGGGTTGTGAAACACGAATGTATTGTGTTATGAAACTACCGTTGGTGATCTTAATTTATTGCCAATTTCTGGAGATGTGACTTCTAAGTACAACTACCATCTCACTACTCTCCGTATGTGCAACAGCTTGCCAGCAACCGCTCTGGTGGCCTAGTGGTTAGAGCGTCCGCCTCGGATGCGGGAGGTCGTGGGTTCGATCCCCGGTCGAGTCATACCAAAGACTTACAAAAATGGTACTAACATCTGCCTCGCTTGACCCTCAGCATTAAGAGGTTAGTGTTAGGACTGGTCGGCCTGGTGTCAAGATAATGTGACTGGGTGGTACATCATGCTACATGTCTGCAGCATGATGCCCCAGTGCTAGATATCACTATAAACTGACACACTGCAGACATCGTAGTGATATGACTGAAAAATTGTTAAAAGCTACGTTAAAATCATAAACACACATAAACACACAGCTTGCCAGCAGTTTACCGTGGATCGGTGACTTGTTCTCCATTTACAGCCTATCTTGCTCTGAAAATGTCGTTAAACCCCAAAAAACAATAATATAATTATCACCAAAATACGACACCTAATGAGACGACCGATCTACTTGAAGTAAACAACCCGATACGCACGTGAGACCTGGTGATGTCAGTACCAATAAAACTTGATTTTTGTTGTGCAACGTTTTTATTTTCAACGATGTGTATATTTACATCAAATACTATTGACTACCTCTGACACCTATTCTCATTTTCATTTGAAAACATTTCCTTACGTTTGTGTTTACCACTGACTTGGGTGTCAAAATATTGCTAGAATCGATCCAAAATGGACAGTTTATATCCTTTTAAATCATTTTCTTCGCAAAAAGACGCGCAAGCGTATCGCGCAATAGTGACAACTTGATACCAAACGAATCGTCTTTATATCGATTATGTATTTGTTCAATAAAAATTAATTTAAAAGTAGCGTCATATATTCCGTATATTTGTGAATGCAAACGGTGTTCACTAGGGTGTACGATACACAACTTTGAGCCAGCAGGATGTTGGAGAAATAGAGCCGACTCCATTATGTAGTTTTGTGCACTGTAATGGGAGCTGTCTTTTGCGGACAAGGTTTCATTTATATTAAACGAAGCCATATTACTTAACTGTCGTATTCACTTTCTTAATGGTTTCCCAGCACTTAACGGCGGAAGTTTGATAATTAGTCAAATTCTAATTGTTAATTTGTTATCCCGGCTTGTGATAAGTGTTATGTATACTACATACAGATTTTTGACTTTGAGTGTCGTTTTTAATAACCCCTGTTGCAGCCAAGCAATTAACAACGGAAGTCGGAATATTGTTTTTATAACCGTCCGTAATTAAATGCGGAAATGAATAATTTTGGAATAATGTATTGATTGCAATAACGCTCTCTGGATGAGGAGCTGCCTGCCACAGTGTTAAGCACTAAGATTAGTTTTAGGGCTGGTAAGCCTTGTGTCCGGATAATGTTACATGGTGGAACATTATGATAAACGTCTTCGGCTTGATTCTCCAATGCTAGACATCATTATAAGCTGCCACACAGCTGACATTGTAGCGATAAAACTGAAAACAATGTGAAAGATACGTCGGGTTTTGAACCCGCGGCCTCCCGCTTCCGAGGCCGACGCTCTAACCACTAGGCCATCTGAGCGGATCAAGGACGAAAAGAACCACGTTTTACCTAGAAATAACGGAAAGGATCACTTTTAAGATAGAAAATTTGATCACGATTTTTAAAGATAAAATAGCGGCTGCAGATGAAGTTTCTTCATCTAATGTACCGTGTTGTTTACATATCTTTTGTGAGAAGAAAACTTGAGTAAGTCGAAGTTCTTCATGGCTTCGGGGGACAATTCGTGATGTGCATTTAATGTGAAATACCTTGCAAACTGTCAGTCGAATTGGTTTGGAAATTTCCGATACTGCATAAATCATCATACTGAATAACTAAGAAGTAATTAATATTGGTGACTTGGGTGTACCTTTCATTTTTATTGCAAAGGTGTTGCAGTCACTTGAAAAAGATATGTATAACTTCATGCCAATGACGAACAGGAGGCAGCCAGGGCACGACGCTGTGACAGTAGCATTTCATGTTTTATATTCTGCCAAGAATTGTACAAGAAAAAGAGCAAATATAAAATTATTCTATCTAGCAGTTTACGACTGGGTTATTAATTTTATATAACTCTCTCTCTCTCTCTCTCTCTCTCTCTCTCTCTCTCTCTCTCTCTCTCTCTCTCTCTCTCTCTCTCTCATAAAAGGTGATTAAACCGCAAGCACCAACTACCTATGTGTGACTTATCACCAGTCTATGAAGGAACAATAGATGTATGACTTATCACCAATCTATAAACGAACAATAGATGTATGACTTGTCACTAGTCTATGAATGAACAATAAATGTATGATTTATCACCAATCTATAAAAAAAATAGATGTATGACTTATCACCAGTCTATGAATGAACAATAAATGTATGATTTATCACCAATCTATAAAAGAACAATAGATGTATGACTTATCAATAATTTATGCATGAAAATGAAAAATTAGTATAAACTATAGTTTGTTCTTTATTTTAGACAGATTACACAGGAACGAACGTGAAGAGGAGCCATTCAATATGAAGCCGTGGCTGATTGGCGTGGTAGTTTTATCAGTTATTCTCCTTGCCATTATAGTCGGAACTATAATACAAAGGTATGGGTGATACTGTTGCTTGTGAGCAAATATGAGGTGGTTGGGGGGGGGTAGTTTTTGCCGGTATCTGCGTAGAGTCTGTACAGAATCGTTTATTATCCTTTCACATGCAATCACTTTAGCAGAGATCCAAAACAATAATATGCTTCTAATTTGGTGATTTATTTCTTGCTAGAATTCTTAATGAAAACCTCGCGTAATTAACAGCAACGTGTTTGCACTCATTCTGTCACATTGTGACTTTTGATTCATATCCAGAGTCGGCATGTAGTGGGGATGACGTCACCAGTTCTTGGATGATGGGTTGTTTCCCCATATATTTTTTCCTTATGATATAAAACGACTTTATGATAGTCGAAAAATCCGCGGCTGGTGCTGTTTAAGCTGATGTTGATTTCCGTTACAAGATGCAACCAACCTTGACAGAGCGCGTTTGGTAGTTAACAAGATAGGCAATTTTTAGTTTATTTGTTGTGTAATAACTTCCTACGATGTAACATCTCCGGTTTAAATCCACCAAAGCATACTGGTGAAGATTTATATTCCACTAATACAATTTGGATGAAATGACAGAGTAAGAACAAAAAATAGCATAAGTCATGCGCATTATTTAACATAACAAATGAAATAAAATGATAAATCATCGTATGAGTTATTATGGTTCAGTATGTATGTTTTTACATTTGGCCAACTATTATACAATCAGAAATAGTCGTGGGTGACTTAATTTCGTTCTTTTTGTGTGTAGTGAATATCCTGGAATTTAATTCTCTCAAGAAAAATAGGAATATTGAATAATTATAGGTTAATCGCGAATACCCCCATTTACTTCTCAAACCACAATGTCCCCCACCAGAAATTACGTATGATTTTTTTTTCAATTATGTTCAACATTATTTCGTGTTCAGGATGAATGGACAAGCCTTTTTAGGAGTATTTCTCTTGGAAATGACCCATCTAGCTAATTGTTATAGTTCAGGCCCAATTAAACAAGATGATTAATATATGCTATTTTAGTTTCACCATTATTGTCACTTCAGGCATCGACGAGCACGTAATGACAGACGGGGACATTTTAACGAACTTCAAAAAATGCACGATGATGTAATAGGATCACTGGAATCTTAATGGGAACTTTGAACAAGAACGGTTGAGCAATATTTCAAGTGCCTTTTGAAGACCGAGATTCCGAGATTGCCATATCACGAATACATTTAATGTCGGAACTGAAACAGTATTACAGATTTGTGCTCATCAGAGATTTGTAAAAATATGTAGTCATTCTGATATTTATTTGTTGTGACTTTGTTAGTTTGAAATATTGTTCGATGTTTAGAGTAAACAAACAATCCATATTTTGTATTCAAATAGCTGTATAAATTATTTACCAGTGACACAGTTATACGATAAATGAAAACGAGTTTTGACTTGCTGTACTTTAACATTGTCGTATAGTTGAAACAGATTTGCCGATAAGAAAGCTGAAATTGGTGACCTATATTACAGTTGAGTGCATTCTTATTCACTTTGGAAAGGTATATTACCTTCCCTCATTTCAAAATTGCATTTACTGATAATTTGTACGTTTGAAACTATCAGACAATATGAAAGACAATCATCATTGCTTTAGTTTCTGATTATGCGTGATATTGCTAGCTCCCGGCGACCCTTAGCAAACTACTTTATGAGAAAAGCGCGTGTAAAAGGGCATTACATTCTCACTGATCTTGACTGAACACACTAAACAGTACAGTAAGACAAAAGTTTGGACGTATCTACGTGATTTTTACCGGTAGTGATAAAACGAACACAACCCGAGAAGAATCTACTTCAGTATGCGAATTTTATTGCGGTAAGCAGGTGCAGCGCACTTGATAAAATTGTAGTTGATTCACCGCGAGGTTTTAATTACTTAAGCAAGTTTCGGAAACAGACATAACCATATTATCACCTTGCTGCAGCTGTAGCTAGGATACCTTTGCATAGGGACAGCCGAATTAAACACTCCTTGATATTAGAATCGACAGGAAATTCTTTACCGTCACAACATCTTTGCTGGCGAAGGTTCCGATAGAACAACTCTATTTACACCTTGGCGTTTCGAATGGATATTGCATCGGGTCTGTGGATTTTATTTACTGTGGCGGCTGGTCACCGCATCCAATCAAAATTAAGTTTTTCAAACTTTAAACACTGTTCCTACAGCCATGGAATGCACTGATATGTTCTCTTGCCCAAACATAAGAGGATTTTCAGTTTGTCTGTTTCAAGGTAGCTATATCGATCAATGATTGCTCTCTTGTGAAACATTTGTATACATGGACCGGAAATTAACCGACTGTTAGCGTGCGTCCCAAAAATAAAAAAAAAATAAAATAAAAACTAGCGCACGTGCGTTTACTCGGAAAACTTTAAATTGCATATGAAAATGTCAGTTGCTTTCTTTTTTTCTTTTTTTTCATACAAGAGTAGCGATTTTATATGGTATCGACTTTCGCCAAATGACAGGGTGTGTTGAATCCGTCGCCCTTAAGACTCTGGCATGACCGATCGCCTAAAGATTTGTGTACTTTATAAGCAACATGCATTTTAATTTTTGCATGAACTGTAAAAAAATAAAATGCCTAAGCCACTAAAATACACAGCACGTACATTTTATAGCCCAAATATCATAAAGTACGTTATCATACGTTACAAATACCATGTCTAAGGCCTAAGAAAAAAACACTGATACCCACTTTAAAAACCAAATATCATCAAAAATAATTAATTCCATCAAACTGAATACGCTGGTTAGAATGAGTCATGCCAATCAAAAAACAATTCTGGACTTAAAACTTAATTAGCGAAGCCAGTTAGAAATCGTCACACTAGTTTACACCTGTGGCCGGAAGAGCAAAATATTCAACACTTTTTTTTAAATCGCTGTTGGAAATAATTTATTTTTTTTATAAATGTATTGCTATTTTTTGTGTGCAATCGTTTAATAAGCTCAACTTCATTGCTGTATTTCGAGCATTAATGTCATTGGTGCAATTTTGCAGCAGTAGTTCATTTAATTTAAAAACATTTACAAAATGTGACAAGTCCTCGGTGTCGTTTATATATTTTTGTTTACATTTCATATAGATACAGTAACATATATAATATATATGATAATTTAAGAGTATCGAATTGTGAATTGTATGAATTTTCATTTATTGAATAAATCTTATCAGAAACAGTGTCTCCATTTCGTCCATGAAGCTTGTTCATAAGTGATTCCATTTTTCCAAACAACAGAAATAACAAATTATGGTTGAATAAAGCGACGTGCATATTCAGGTAAATATTTTTTTTTTCAGAAGCCCAAATTTCCGTTTTGTCAAAAGTCAATAACAAAAGATAAAGATATAAATATCATGGCAATTATCACATTTCATAGTCTCATTTTAGACATCGATAAAACATCATTGCCTTAAAAAAATGGTACTGTCAGAAAACTTTTGACAGAAAATAATTATTTCTCCTGCCGTAAGTTAGAAAAATGTAGATGGTTTGCCCCTTTTTAAATTCCAACCATATTTATCGCTGAGCTTTCAATTTTTCGTTTTGGAAATAAAATTTTGAACCATTATTTTGTTTAAAATTTATGGTAGACAATAATCTAACCTAGATAGCCAATTTCCCCAAATGGTTCTCATTAAAACTAGTTCCGATGATCTAAGACTTTGAGGTGGCGCTCTACAGTTTCGTATTTAGCATAGGGTTAGAATGTTAAAGAAAAAGTTTCCCCGGGTTTCCTCACTAGTTATACTGGCTATTTAAAAGAGACTGTATATCTTAGACATTGTTCAAAGAACCTGTAATTCCCTTTATTTTGATGTATGTATGTGTAATATGGGTTAGAGAGTATGCAGCTTGGCCTTACTCCAGATGTGCATCTTTCAAAAAAGTGCTAGCT